TTTATTTTCAGTTGATTCGTACACTATTTTAAATTTGAGAAAACATAAACTACTTGATACCAGAGACCATTTACCCAGATCTTTTGAATGAACCTTGTGACATTGTTTAAAGCACACGTGCTCATAAATGCATTGTGTGAACATATAGCTTCTAATGACAACTTGAGAGAGATCAAAATATTACATTAGTGTAATTTTTGAAAAAACATGTTGTTATTTTTTAATACTGCATACAATATTAAATAAAATGCGGAAAATTGAATGTTGCAATAGTAAAAATGCATGAAAATGCCCCCCAAAAAATTGCAAACTTTTTCAATTTTTGAAATTTAAAGTTAACTGAAAATACGAACTATAACACCTATATAAGTGAATTTGACTCTATACTTATAAGAAATTTAAAGAAAAAATTTGGAGACTTTTTCAGAAAATTGTTTTTCAATATAGCAGAGCTTCGAGTGGAGTCAGATCGATCAGGAAATATTCATTTTTAAAAAAATCACACCGATAGTTTAGGCACTAGTGTTGTTCCTGGACACACATTAATAAAACACTTTGTCTGTATCTCCAAAACATGTATATATGATGAAAACTCTTAAGCCAATTTTCGGCAGTATTATGTAACATTCTCTATATTACTTCATACATATGCAAGTATAGGAGAGTAACAATTGGAAACATTGGACAAAACAACTCAAAGCAATAGGTTCTGCAGCGACTTCCTTGTTGCTAAAAGACACGAAGCATACAGAATGAGCTTTCCGCATTCCCCCACTTCCCATTAGCGCTGGTGTTGCAAACACTGCTCCTGTCTATTTTAATCATAGGCCGCAACCCTTACCATGCTGACAAAATTCCCAAGTCACCTAGAAGAAAATTCAACGCTTTGTCTCTTATAAGTGAGAAGAAATTCATACAATTTTGTCCACAATAGGCGGGAATCTCTTATGACGGGGTCGTTTAAATGCAGGAAATAAATGCATTGTTTATAAACAACTGACCTTGGGACCGTGAATTTTGTCTCTTAAAAGCGAAATTATCTTATAACTGGGACTTTTACAATGGGGTTTTGCTGTAAATTAAAAAAAATAAAATAAAAACCCATTGTGTCTGGAAATCAATGGATTTGTGCTGACTTCTAATGCCTACCCTGTTGTTAAGAGGTTCATCTATGTAGTCTTCTGAAAGCCCACCAGATGTAGTAATGTTTGAATCTACAGCCACACATTTCCAACTCTTTGTTATACATTGCATTCAGTGGTAAAGTGTACAGAATTTCTTTAGTAGAGCAGAATAGCATTTGCTTGGTCTTTCATGAGTCATGATACATGACGGCTCAAAATGGTGCCTAATTGGATTTGATGCAAAATCATGATAAACAAAACCAATTCTGATCACATTATACAACATTTTCTTGTTGTAATATCAGTCGAAGCAGGATGTCATGAGAATAACATTAACCACAAGTACAATAAGCAGCATCCACTATATATAAATAGCTATTTTGAATATAAATCATAAAATTTACCGATTTTCAAGATCTTTGTTCTGCTCAGAAGCTTCTTCAATTTCTCGACTCAATTTAAAGGCAGATTCTCTCAAACCATGTATTGTAGTGAGATGTTGAGCAATTTCTTCTTTTAACTCTGTATTTTCTAGACACTGTACTTCTAATTGACGGTTTGCTGTCCGCAATGCCAATTCATGTTCTCCACAAGTATTTTCCAATACTGTCACCTGATTGAATAAAAACATTTAATGTATAATGTAATTACATATGTATGTATTATTAAATATGGTATTAAAATGTAATAAACATACCAAGCACCCAACACACACAACCAACCACCCAATCGAACACAACTCACCACACAACCCAGGCCACAAAAGCAGACATCGAACTTTAAGGAGTACATATAAAGCAGGTTACTAGTATAGTTACAGATTCTCACGGTTCAAGAAAGTGCTGTAATGGAATCTGAGCTTGAATAAGTCTGAAATGGCACTTCATGCTACAAGAGTACAAAGTTTTCTCAAGTGGTCATGTGTATTCCGTACAGTAAGAAGTAAAATGGTGAATTAGCATGCAACCTACAAATGTACAATGTACAAATCGTGTAACGAAAACCTGCACTCTGTTTCTCAAACACAACATTTATCTATTTGATGTATCCTATTGAAATCTTCAAAAGGATAATTCAATTCTTTTCACGTGAAGGAACATCAATTTAACTCTGTAAATTGCCACTTTCTTTGGGAGAGAACAAGTGATTTCTTTAAAGTAGGTAAAGAAGTATTTTTATTATAAAAATTCAAACTTAAAACAGAAATATTAAGATTTCTGCCCAGAGGCTGATGGAAACTTAAAAATCAGATTTATTTATTTATTTGCATCACCGTTTACTCCTGGTATCTATTCTCCATGTGAAATTTTCTTATATATTGGAAGTACATCAACAATAACTTATACAAAGTTTATAATATAGTAAAGAATTCTGAGAATTTAGTATAATATGATTTACACTTACTGAAAAAAAAATTCCAAATTAATCAAGATAGGCAATTTTTAACCAAATGTGGATTAGAGTATTACACTAGAAACGATTACAAAAGTTTCTGAAAGAAATTTCCCAACAAATACAAAATGTTTTATATCCCAAACCTATCAAAATCACATATTTTCAAGAAAAGATCTTCAATGGTTTTAATATAATAAGAATTTATCGTGGACTAGACCACATCATGGAGTACATACAAATCCAATTTTTAGAGTATTATACTATTAGCTAATAAAAGCTATTATGTTTAATTTTTGCTTTCAAATGTGCTATTACAAGTGCCCAAAACTACGTGGGCAACCATCATTAAATAAAAATGATATTTAATGCTTTATAAACTTGTAGAATAAAGACATATGATATGTCAGAGATACATAAAAGTTTGATGTTTGAATGTTAGTGTTTAGTTACTTAAAACATTAAGTAAGTATTGCAATACATCTTCAGCTCTACATATAAAAATGCAGAAAATTCTGTAAAATTTCAAAGTATTTGAATTAGCCATGTACATTTGCCCCCATCATGGCTGCCAGTGGAAGCTTCAGTTTGCAAGGGGGAAGGACGGTCATTACCATAGGATTGTGGGGCATTTTTTTTTTCTCTTGCATATTAATGATTGATAGAGGAAAACCATTAGTTAATACAAATTTACAAGATATTGACTGCAGTTGTGTCTTAACCCACAATTCTTAATTAAAACAAGTCAAATATGTACACAAGTTATTATTCTTTACAACAAATCTTGAAAGTTTTAAAAAGATTCCTGTATTTTTTTTACTTTAATATCAAAATTTAACTAAAGCCAAATAATTGTGGCTTTCATTTTGATCTCATAATATTGTCCAATAGAGCTAATGTATTTCGGAGATGCACACTTGAAAAGCTGGTCAAAATATCAAATTTTTAGATATGTTATCAATTTCTGTCAAGAATAGTATTAACAGTGTAGTATAAGTCATATGAAGTGTAATATATGTTTTATTTAGTTTTAGGTATGGCATCTTCATTAACTAGTAATTATTACCTGATCTGTCAAGGTTTCAGCCAATTTCTTGTAGTCTAATAGCTGATCTTGTAGCGTTGTAACAATTTCAGACTGTGAAGTAATTTCAGCTTCAGTTTGTTGTAACTTCAACTCTGCACGTATCTTTAATGATTTTTCTTCATTTGTAGCTTGACGAGCAGTTCTGATTTCACCTTGCAATTTCTCAATGTCTTCTTGCAATTTTACTCTGGATGTAAGAGAAAAATTGTAAAGTTTTACAGACAAATCCACTCAAATAACATTGCATATCCATTATAGAGCTAAAAAATGGAACTTACATTTCAGATGAGTTCTTTTTCTCTCTCTCTTCATATGCAGCAGATATCTTTTCGTAATCCTCTAACTGCTCTTCAAGCATGCCGCAAGTTTCTTTCAACACACTAATATTCTGAAATAAAGGAAACATTGCAAATTTTTTCTACAAAGATAAGAATCCTTGATAACATTAATTAATTGAGACCTTCACTTGTGGGAAGTGTCATGATTTTTCCCTTTCATTTTCAAGAATTCTAAATAAATGGATCACAAAAAAATTATTGAATCTTTTATATACGTTTTCCCATCAGAATCAAGAATTCTGGAATGCTTTCAAGATAAATTTTCCCCACCTTATCTAGCTTGTAATACAAAAAATTTGTTTTAAGATAATAGAAAACTAATTGCATAAAAGATTATTGAAGCTTACTTCCTTCGATACATCTTTGAGTTTTACAGACAAATTTTATATTCAGGACTTGGAATGAAATATTCACCATTTCTAAAGTATGACAACAATTCTTCTGTTCCTCCAACTGTTTGGATAGTTTATCTTTCTCTTCACTACTTCTTTGGTTGTATCTTTTCAATGTCTCAACTTCACTCAAAAGTGATGAAACTTGAGATTCCAGGCTTTTCATTAATCGCTTGCCTTGTGATATTTCATCTTGGGCAGATTTCAACTGCATTATGCATTCTGTTAATTTGCGTTTCTCCTCTTCACAGCCAGTCTTCTCCAACTGCAAGAAAAATGCACTTACATGCACATGACAGCTAATAGAAAATCACGTATCCATCAGATACAACATAAGTTCACATATTTCTTTAGCACGAATATTACCATTTTTCTAATGTTAAGAAAATAATGTACATAAAATTATGTATTGAACTCATCTTGAACTAATATAAGCATGAAAATTCAAACTTGATAAAGAGTATATAAAAATAAATGTGCTTTTAAAGTATTAATAAAATCTACAAACATATCATCAAAAAGCAAGACATCAAAGCTCATCTAAATTTGAAAATAATCTAGTTAATGTGATGTATAAAATACCTCGACATTTTTTGTAAGTTCAAAAATTTTCTGTGATTTCTCTTCCAACTCTGCCCTGAGAACCTTTTGTTCTTCATGCAAAGCTTCTATTTTATCCCAATTAGATCGAATTTCTTGAGCATGAGCAGATCTTTCTTCACTTGCACTTTCCGCCCACTTGCTCTTCTCTTCTTGAAGAGTTTTCAGTTCTTGCTCAGCAGTCCGAGCCTCACGTTGAGCGATCCGCAAGTCTATTTTTGCATCTGACAATTCTTTCTCTCTCTGTAAAATAAGACAATTTCATCTCTAAACAACAGAAGTCATCATTTAACATAATAACAGCTTCCAACTGAATTTTTAGAAGGTATCATTTTATGACTGAAAACATTACACTACATATATCTATTTTGCAGAGATAGATCTGCATCAATGCAACTAAACATTGCCAATATATTTTGTGTAATCTTTGGATTTAAGGTTTATGGTAAGTTCACACCTTCCATAACTGAGACTGGAGTGTTTTAGCACTGTCCCGCTCTAGAACAAGATTTTCTCGAATCTTTTCAAGTTGAGCTTCTAATTTCTCAACTTGTGCTTCCATGAAGGCTTTCTTTTGAGCCAATTCTGCTATGGCAGCAGCATTATCAGAAGACCTGAAAAACACAATTTTCTTTGCTAAATAAAAAACAACAACAACAAAAAAAGCAACCAGCCAAATTAATAATATTTGAATAAAATGAAATGTTTAAAATGATTTATACTAACACAACTGGGGTTTTGTTTTCTCTCAAATTTGTAATTTGCTCTTTCAATCGTAAATTGTCTTCTTCAAAGCGTGAAATCAATTTCTTTGCATCAAGCAATTTTTCCTCCAAACTCTTCTTTTCTGATTCCACACACACTAAAATAATGGAATACTCTTATATACATTTATTCATTTTCTAATCAATTTAAAAAAAATTATGAGGTTGAAATCCAAACTAAATGCACTTCCTAAATTCTGCTAGCATTTCTAATCGTAATGAAAGCAAATTAATATAAAATTTTGTATCTTTTTAACAACCCTAGATCTCTTCAGGCAAACAATAGGAATTATTGAGAGTGCCTGAAACAAAGGCAGCTATTTGTGCAAATGAGATCAGTAGGAGGGACTGTCTTAATGCTTGTAAATATTGGGCGATAGTAGTCCTACATTCTATAAAGTGAATAACAAAGTTTTGCTGGAATGATCCCTTGAAATACTGAATTATTTAACAGACTCAAAACTTACATAATTCTTCAGTTTTCTGCTCTAAGCTACATTTCAAATCCATTTTCTCACGCATGGATTCCTTTAATTCTGTTTCAACTGTGCAAATGAGTGTCTGATGTTCTTCCAATTTCTCAGAATGGAAGGATGTATGTTTTTCTTGTTCCTGCTTCAGTTCATTTATATGCTTCTCCATCATCTACCCACATGAAGAAAATAAGTCATTAAAAATATCAAAGCACTCAAATCACAGAGCATAACGCTAACAAGCACCATATTCTTGATGACCAACATGACCAACCTCAAATTGTTCATTCAGTTTTGTGTAGTTCAGCCTCTCCTGGCTTAGAGTCTCCTCTAAATCTACAATGCGTGCATTTTCAGTTTGAATGGTCTTCTTTTTCGTTTCTTCGGCATTTTTCATCAGGATTTCATTTGCCTCCATATGTTGCTTGATCTCTGAATGCAGTTTTTTATTTTCTTTCTTTAACTGCTGACATTCTGAGGTTAACTAAAGAACAAAAGAAATAAACATAAATAATTGTTTAAAATTTTAAAAAGAAAACCAGCCTGACATTCAATACCAAATTTCAGTACATTATCAAGATTTTATATTATACACATTTATCATGTACCCGTTTAATTTTTGGTTCATCAAAGGACACATCGTACAATACACAGTAAAGAGTTGAGAAAGTGAAGGATGATGGTAAAAGTATCTAATTTCTCAGCAACAAGTCCTTTATTTCAAAGTGCTCACATACCTCCAGCATTCTGTCTCCAGATGAGGTTTCCAGCTCCTCAATACGATTTTGTAATTCACTTGTAAGCTTCATCTGAGCATCCAATTGCTCTTGCAGAGATGTCACTTGATGCTGTTTGTCAGCCACTATCTTTTGGAGATGGGTCTCAACACCAGCAATGCTCATTCGGGTTTTCTCTCTCACCTGGCCAAAGGCATATTTCAAATGCAAATTAAATGTTAACTCAAATGAAATGACAAGTCCTTTTCAAAGACTCATCTACAATTCTTAAATGATTTTAGGGTATGAAATGTAAATCTAAAGAGGAATAAGGAGACAATTAAGTCATAATTTTGTATAAAACTCAGTACAAATTGT